AGGAGTGAACACAATGCCAACCCTAAGTCGTTCAGGTGACATTGAAAATCCAACCAATTTCCTGCAGGGCTATGATGTCCAGGGGCTAAGAATTGCACCAATGCAAAAATTCATCATGCACCAAGGATTTCGATGTATTCCAGGTCATGCAACGAATGCCAGGAATCGTTTGTGGTGTCTGCTTCTGCACCATCTAGTGTGAGTAACATCGATAAGCCTCTTTAAGGCGCCAAAGCACATCCGTAGCCTTTGCGCTATGGCATATAGCCATGTTATAAGGTTCGGAAGCAGGCTCTCTTGTATAATCTCTTAATCTAAATAATATGCGGCCGAAAGACAACTAAGCCGTAGCCTCCTCTAACCCATACTTCTAATAGCTTCGTAGAAAAGCACTACGGTGGAGTGAAGGATAGAAATTCATTTTCATCCGGGAATAAAAAGTCCCGGACAATCCCCATCCCACCCATAGTCCTAATCGAGATAAAAAAAACGAAACCATTAGCATCCATAAACCCTAAATTTAAAATCAAATAAATCAACCTCAAGCTTATCAAGAAAATATATAACCAAAGAAAAACTAACATCTATAATATAATAACCAAAATATAAAATAAATATAACGAGAATAATTACAAAAAAATAGCTATCGAAATTCGAAGCTAAAATAACATTTAAAAAATATTATATATAAACATATATTATATTAATTTAAATATATGTTTAAAAAATTATCAATAAATTATTATATTCATTATAATAAAATTTATATCATTGTAATCTTTAATATTCATTATAATATAACAATAATAATAATTTAATTATATATTTTTTAAATAATTATATATTATTATCATTATTATATCAAAAATATCTATATATATATTTTATTTTAACATTATTTAGATTTAAATATACGAATTATTTATTTATTTTAACAAAACATAATTCAATATATCTTTTAAACTAAATTTCATTAATATTAATAAACAAATTAAATTAAATATTTTTTCGGATCCATCAATATAGATTTATTATTAAAATTAAAATAATTTTAGAAAAAATTAATATCAATAAAATAAATCCAAAATAATCGAGGTAATTATCAATTATTCCCAATGATAAATGCACAAAATCCTGAACCCAAGAACGTCCAAGTCATAACAATAGATTGTTTATGCAAGTTGCCTTCGCGAAGACCTGTGGGGAATATGCAGTTTGGCTTCGTATGCCTTCGCGCTTGAATTCGCGGCTGTGATGCAGTTCCACTTTCATATAGACCTTTACATGTCAATAGAAACGTTGCTCGAATGTTGCTTTCTTGTCCTCCTGTTATTGTACTCTGTGCGGCTCAACTTCTGTGAAGCCGCAGTTGAAGCGATCCATTCCAAAAGCACATGAATCAACACATGAATCTCTATGGACAATGGATGGTAAAAAAAATACATCGTCACATGTCCAGCCACAATCGGAAGCACGCTTCTCCATGCAAGTGCACAAAGCTTAACCTAGCCTCACAGCAACATCCTCTTCAAGCCTTCTTAAAACTGTACACAAGTGCTTCGAGGGCGGGGAGGGAGGTGTCTGTACAAATCAAGAGGCGCTGACATTGCGGTTTGATTTAGATCTACAGTAAGACCTTTCTAAATCAAGCGGGGGTTGAAACCGGCGAAGCACCAATTCTCGTCACGCCATATTCCTCAATATCTAGGTCTCTTTCCTGCATTTGCCATTGTCAGAAAACCCTCCTGAACAAGCATACATACTCACGAAGCTGCGTCTAAGATCAATCCGCATTTCAGCCAAAGCTAGCAAGGCGTATGGAATTCAGTCAATGGATTCTCTCCGGCCCTGAACTCATTGATGCTTTCGATTGACCCCTGCACCAACACCGTTGTGCCAGACACTGCTATGAAAAAGGCCAGCAAGATGACAAGGAGGGACCTGAAGACGTTTTGGCAGCCCAGAGTGGACAAACGGAGTGCCAATGACAAAATAGCTCAACCAACAGGATTCGATACTAAGAGGGCCTAGCACTGGCATGCTGTTGATTTGTGGATTCTGGATGCTTTTTCTATTTTATTCCACTCGCCAATCCAAACTGCACAAAACAAGCTTGAATTTGGTGAGCTGAGTATGACTGCATGCTCATTCTGCATAATACATCAAGGGGTTTGCACGAAATATGGTGGCGTGAGGCTGCAGCTGGCCTGATGGTGGCTAGTTGGCTCCTGACTGGCTTGTCTGCTGCACATGGGGCCTTTTGTTTGCAAAGGGGCATGTTCTGCAACTTTGTGCTTCTGGTGATCTGAACTTTGTGCATAGGTTGTGAGAGGTACCAGCGAAGCATCAACAAAAATGCAGTGGCAAAAGCAGCACGCGGAAGAATACTGGCCGGGTATAGCTGGGTTGGATTGCAAAATGCAATCAAAGGGAAGAGTATGGAAAAGCGGTGATTGAGCAACCAATTTATATCAATTTATGCATTGCACAACATTCTCTCCCATTCACTCAAACGAGAAGGAAAGAATGACGGCGCAACTGTCAGGCTTGGATTGAGCAGCTATGAGACTGGACTAAGTTGCAGGAAGAGGCAAATATTGGCGGCCAAGAAATCGAAGAGTGAAGACAAGGCAAACCAGGATCCAAACAAATTGCAATCCAGCCATTGTGAACAGCACAAATTGCGCTGCGCTCAGAACGGTCTCCAAGACTCGGACGTGCGCCCTGTGTGGCTCACCAGGTAGCTCACCACCGTCTTCCCGCACATCGAACCCAGGAAAGCTGCCACGCCCAAGGTGACGGCGGGCAAAGGTGGAACAAATCCACCCAGCAGAAAGAGCGAGGTACTGCAAGTGCTCATCACCTACTAATGCAAATTCCAACCCAATAGTGATGGCCTCCAACCTAATAGTGATGGCCTCCAACTTACTAGCGATGGCAAAACACTTCAAGTTTTGCAAGTTGAAGAAATGACAAAAAAGCTAACATATTGCAAAAGAAAGCAACCATGCGCAAACCACAACAAACTCAGATACTTTGATGGGATTTATTTCCACGCGAATCCTATGACATCTCGAATGCTTCTCCCCTTCTATGGTGATACTGCGCGAGCAAACATGTTGTCGAAGCAAATAATTTGCTGCACAATGGAGGCTCATGGGGAAGAAGCTTCCGTGGGAGCTCCTTTTACCGATCTTTCTACTTAGTCACCTCCCCTCACACGGCCGAACCCCCGAAATGAACGGCCAACAACATCTTAAAGACGGGCAAAGTGTCCAAGACCATCAACGATGCTGTGGCCGTGGCCGCTTGCACCTCGATGCCCCTCTTGACCATCATGGGATTGAGCACGATGGCTCCACCAATGCCCACCACAGCGCTAAGGGCTCCGATGACCACACAAATATACCACGGAGCTTCCTAAACATTGGAAACACCCGGCTTTCACCCGACGGACAAAGGATCGGTAGATGCGTGCGTTTCTCTTTGCGCTTCTATGAGGGTAAACTGAATAAACATGCAAAATTTGGCATGAACAAAAGCTGGTGTCAGGCTGGCGAGTCAATGCACCGACCAACATGAGGAGAAAAAAGCCAGTGGCTGTCACCAACCAATACTGCCACGAGCAGCTTGTGATCGAAATGATGGAATGCCCAGAGCCACCGCGCATCGCCACGACTAGGATCATGCAAATCCATACCAAAATGAACTTGCCCCAAAGTCTGCAAGCATCCCATGGACTTTTCGGATCTTGAGAGACATCGGTCGACACGACATTGCCCGGCAGGGGCAGGGTAGATGGGCGTCTCCTTGTCAAAGTTCGGTCACTCTGAGAAGTCATGGAATCGGAGAAGAAAGAGACATGAGTGTAAGGAGTGTCATCATCGCACTCCTCATTGCCCTCTGATGTGCTCGTGCTTTCAGGAACTGTCTCCGATGCAGCAGGCAACTCCACCTCTCTCCCAACTACAGCAGGTGGGGCTCTTACAACGTCTGCTTGTCCATTTCTCGAAGCATCTGAACGCACAGCATTCTCTGCTTTCCACATCTTCAAAGCCCTTCTAGCGGAACTTTGGAAGGTACTTCCGGCGAGTAGCAAGAGCAAAATCATAATGATAGCTGATGGCAACCTTGAATTGACTTTTATTAGAGCACCTAAGACCAAAGCAGTCAACTCCTTACCACAAAACATATCATTTTCCATAGCTGCAGGAACCAAACAACGTGCCAAAACATCTAAATCTCTTCGACCAAAGCGGGCAGCAGTTGGTTCATAATGGATCCAACCAAATTGCCAGCCAGGCAGGGCGCTATCATTGCCAATGCCAAATGCCCATCCAGCAACTTTTGCTCTTTGTGTCGGAACTGCCAGGCGATATTGAAGGAGTTTCCTTGGAAAGGCATGTGTGCAAAAGACGGAGAAATTGACATATCATAGCCGCAGCAAACCACAAGACTTTCAGACTGCTGGTCCAACCCACATAACTATGAAAGAGACGACCTCTGTCTTTCTACAAACATATTTTGAGACCAGTAGTTCATATCAACTCATTGAGTATCATTGAGTTGCTTTTTAGGGCAGTTGGAAACACCAGAATGCCAGAATGTGATACACACACACACATCCTTGATACCAACAATCTGCACGGAGCTCGGGACTCTGGATCCAAGTGTCCAGCCAGAGCGGCGCCGACGATGATGGGCTGTGCAAGGACTGCAGCCAAGCGTGGGTCTGCGATGTGGGTCACAATGAGCAGTGGCACATAGAGCATTCCACCTCGTTCAATGTTTAAATTGCTTTACGTTTTAAGGTGATGATATTATCATTTCTCAGCCTTGCCTTTACACAACTCCAGACTTTCAAGGACACGGTAACCTGGTGACCCAGGCCCAGGATATGATTCTTCACACACCTCTAATGCACCAATCACATCATTCGAGGGCTGCTTTCTGTGCAAATCAGCTGCCTCCTATCCCTGCAGGCATAGCCAAACTAGCAATGACAAACACAGGTGCTGCAACAGCAAGCAAGTGCGCAAATGCTACCATGGCGATGACGGAGCTGCTGACAAGTTTGATTGCTGGAAGAACACAAATGAGCAATGGCCTCCAACCTAAGAGCGATGGCGGAAACATCTGCCCTCGTGGGAGAAAAAACCATCTGCCCTCGGGATGTGATCAGTGAATTCTTCTTTCAGTGCTTGGGCCAGTGATGCTTCATGTCAATGGAAGTTGATGGTGATCATCCAGTGCCAAGGCTGCCAGGTCTAGCGTGTTTTGGGACCACCTGCACAGCTGTGACAATATGGGTTGAAGTGAAGCCAGTAGTGCACTTGGGGTCTGTACGAAAATCTGATTCATGGAAAGTCCCACTGGGTCACAGGGGGGTCTCTCCAGATCTCCAAAATGATTCATGGCGCGGATCTTCAACCTACATCAACTTCCTTGAGTGGAACATGCATCTCACCAGCATGTGTCATTCTTTGATCACATAAAACTGAAGAACCTTCGCAGCCTACCAACAAGCCCCAATCATCACTATCAACTATCACCTGGGCAATTCTACCCTCAGACCCTTCTTAACTTGGGAGCAGCAACAACAACAACAGCAGCAGCAGCAGCAGGCTGGCACTTCGTTTGAGATTCAAGAATGGTCACATGCAACTCTGCTCAGAAGACCTTCGCTCTAGGTTCTAGATGATTCTAGTACTTTGAGCACCACTGGTGCAAACTTTTTCTGCATGATGCTGCTTGATGCGTACCTCACAACTCGCCATGGACTTCGACAATGAGCGCGGGCCTTACGTGCGTGTGGGGATCATTGAAACCATGATTTGCTCCGCTTGTGCTTGACCGACGAAAGCTGGACCTGGTCTTAACATTCAAGCCTTTTGGAAGCTTTTTGCTTGTGAGACGTTTTCAACATTAGCCATGATCGTTTCGGAGCCTTTTTCCGCTAACCTTTCCGCTAGTTGTCGGCTCTTCGCAGTCATCTTCCAATGCACCCAGGCAAAATCCCATTAACCTGCCAGCGATGCGGAAAAGAACGCTCAGACGACATCTTCCCAGCATTTTCTCATTCTGTCTGACTACCCAACCCATCCAACCCGGCATGGCCTTAATGTTTCTGCTTCCTGACTGGTGTGCCTAAGCGAAGGAAGGCCATGAGCCACAAGGACCCAACAGCGAAAAGAAAAGCACACCAGTCTTGGGTGAACAAAAGTAAATACACTACCCAAATTCTTCTGCCAGGTTGATGGGAGTACGCGCAGGAAGAATGTCTGTCAATTTGGTTCGTGACATATTCTCTGGGGACAATAGCCGCGTCCTGGTCTTTACACGAGATCGGTGGTGATGCCCATCTTCGCCATTTGCCCATCATACCATCGACAAAGAAAGTCTCTGAATGCAAAAGGACCGGACGGGACCAACAATCAAGCGATGATGCAAATCTATTAAGGATTGGACCCACGGTTTCCCCTCTACTTATTGTCCACTTATCTTCATTGATGGCAAGCAATGGATAAAGTACTGCAAATATCTGCAAATGGCCACTATAGTTTGCTAGCTTGCTTGGCTTGCTTGCTTGCTTGCTTTCCCTGCATTTACCCCGAAGGCTGTGATGCGAGTGAGTGCTCCATTAGCTAACTGAACATCTTCACAAGTCCAGCAGCATTGGGCGTGTCGTAACATACATACTGGTTCCAACTAAGTCCCCCAAACCTACTATCCACCGCCCAGCCCGTCCAGGAAATTTGCCCCCTTCTGGCGCCCCGGGAAGCGGCTCAGCGACTCTGTCGTCACAGCGCCCTTGCGGCCCATTCGAATCTGCTGCTGGCGCCAAAGCAGTTGCTGTCGCCAACGGGTCCCAGAGGCAAAGACCTGGTCGTAAGGATGATGTTTTCCTTGGACATATGTGGGATATGGAGACATGTCTGGGGACTGTTGGTTTAACCGCGTGTTGCATTGGATGAGTGCTTGCATCACACATGATCGCAATGGTGTACTTGATGATCCAAAGATATTTTCCCCGGAACCTTGGTAGGTGCCTGCCTGAGTGCTGGTACACCTGAAGGAAGTAGGAAGTGTGATATGCAGTAGTAATATCTATTTCTTTCGGGCATTAAAGCCACTGGAAAAATACTCCGCTAAAAGCACCCATGCACTTGGCTTCTGCCTCACAGGCTCATTTACTTCTGAGATTTGGTTGCCAATGCTCGCTTGTCGAAACTCATGTGTCGAAGCTTGTTCTTTGGGTGAATCCTTGAGAAATGATTGCAATTGGGCCCAGCTAATGGAAAACCCAATGAATGGGTCAGGGTATGCGGGATGTATGGCACCACAGCACACGACAAAATGAGCCCAACTAGTAGAACCACTAAGACTTAGACAATGCTCGGACACTATCCATGGGCTTTACTCGAAAACATTCTGCAAAACCAAACAAGGTCTGCACGTCATGTCCCATTGCTATGCATGACAAAACTTTGCTGATTGTGTAAATACATCTACACAATTAGCCATGGACACATATAAAAACATCGGCATACATCATACTTCCGGTAAATCAGTGGACAACAACCGTGGCATCAAACACGGATCCTGTATCCCGCGAGTTCGCCTCTGATCTGGCCCAGGTGTTCGCTTGCCTTCAACATGTGCAACAATGCCGAAACTGATGAGACTTACACTGTAAAGTGAAACCATGTGAAACCTAAAATGACCACAAAACATCACGAGACCACACGTGGTCTTTCTTGCCATGTACAAAAAGGGTGCATGCTTTGATACTCAACTGAGTGGACCAACTATGTGCTTATATAACTCACTGCCAAATCGCAAAAAGGGTTGGCCGCCAATATCTGTTTGCAGTTGTTTGTCTCGCACTCTTTTTTCACATAGAACGGGGGTTTCAGTAGCGGGGTTGCCCTCCTGAAATTGGATCAAAGGATACAGGAAAAACAAAACTGTTCCACCGTTCCGTTCCAGTGTTTTGCGTCGTCGAGACATCACGAGGCCAACATTGATCGGACAATGGCTTCAAACTTAACCAACTCCCCACCGCAGAATCCGATCACCTCATCCGTACAAAGCTCAGTTCACCAAATCTATCTATTTCTATGTCCCGGAATCATCACAACAACTAGATACGTACAAACGCTGGGCGATTTGGAAGGACCGGCTGGGCGGTCACTGTGGAAGGGCAAACTGTGGATTCAATCTTCACTCTTCGCCTCTCAACGCACTTGAAACACCAAGGGATCGCACCCAGCAGTTCCGCAAACAACAGCGAAGTTGCTCTAAGCGGTCAATTTCCAACATTTTGGTCTCGATCCGCGTCTCCAGGTCCTGGCAGTAAAGGTCAAAACGTACCCAAACATGTCTTGTATTTTTGACGCCCAGTAAAGAAACAGTGCGCCCGGAAATGTTGTTTTTCACAGGCGTGTGCGTGATTCCTCTCCTGAACAACCTGCTGAAGCTGTCCAATCTCACTTCGTATCGCTATCCTGAGGCACCACTGAAACAACTCATTAACCAACAACATCCAACAACTATTATTATCCCGGCAAGAGACCGCAAACAGTGCGAAGCAGACCAAAACAAAGGTGAAAAACGAAGCTTTGCACTTTAGAACGCGCGCACATAACAGCACACACACACATGAGAATACACAGGACATAAATAAAACCACACGTATGAGCGAGCACACATATGAGAGCACACAACCCCAAAAAAAACACAGCAAACAACAAACAAATATAAAAGCCACATGAAAATACATTATACATGAGAGGTTTTGAGAGCACACATATGAGAGCGCACACATGAAAGCACACGTATATGGAACCTCCCACAAAATCAGCACTTTGAGGTTCGCAAAGTGCTGTGCGTGCCCCGGCACTTGCACTTTGAGGTTCATAAAGTGCTGGGCCTGTTGCCAGACTCCGCGCTTCAAGCTCACAAGCACAAAGTGCTGCGCTTGTCACGAAATCTGCGCAGGCAGATCAAAAAAGTGCTGTGAGTGCCGTGAAATCTGCACTTGGTGGTCCACACAGCGCAGCGCCGACCACGAAATCTACACATCATGACTCAATCTGCGCAGCCCGGCCAGTGAGTCTCTAAGAAATATAACTGAAGCATACTGAAGCACTTCCGCAGGCCAAATCGAAGGTTGCGCGCCCAAATGGTGACGATTCGAGTCACTGAGCCTGGAACGAAGCCAATGCACGCCAAAAGCCACCACCAATTCCAAAGCGCTGCGCCTGCCACGAAATCTGTACATCGAAGATATAGCCATCTCCTGTGCCTGCCACGAGAAGTTGACTTCAGACCACCAAAGCACGAGGATCCTCTCGTGCCTGCCATGAAAAGTGACCACTAAGTCCGAAGATGTGCACGGCACCACAACGAGAGCGCAGTCGAGGAAAGTACCAACCCCCGCCCACCATTTTGCGCGAGCCTGCCCGGTCGAAATGCACGTCGAAGGTCTCAGGAGGCATGAATTTTCTGTAACTGGCTGTGAAATAGCCACGCACGCCAGTGAACATCCAGCCTTAACTCTTGCCGTAAGAACCCCAAGTGTGACCACACTGTTCGGGCTGGCTCAGCACTGAACTGCCTGAGCTAGAACCTCTGACTTGCAATGTCAGCGCCACGAAAACCTCTACGGCATAGAATGCCTGGCAGATTATAAGAGAATTACATGAAATGAACCCATCAGCAGCAGAAAAGCGTCCCGAAAAATGTGTTTCACTTTGCGCTCACTTCACAGTGGCACTGAGAATGCTGGGGGTGCTTTCGAATATGCCTAAACGGATCGCCCGGCGCCGAGGATCTGGACGTCCATTTCGACTGAAATGACCTCTTGGAAGGTGGCCTTTGCACGATCCATCTCCACTCTCCTTGGTGGAGCTGAGTAAGGCACGAAGAAACGAGCTGCTTCCTTGAGTAGTGAGTATCATGTCAAGGACAGGTCCATTCTTGGCAGTCCCGCTCCACTCTGAGCCTTCAAGCCCTTCAGGTGCATTGGTAGCACTGGTGTGCCATTTCCAGCCCGTTACCACCTCCCTCGTGGGATGCTGAGTGGGTTATGGGGAGCTATTCTTCAAGGAGGTGTTTGGTTTCTGAACCACTTCAAACACCTTCTGACGCCTGCTTTGGCTGCCAAGGCGCAGCTCGCGTTCGGCTCTCCGGTGTTCCACTTGCTGCTGCTTTGAGCGTTGAATCTGTTCTCGGAGGGTTTGCAGTTGGTCTTTCCTCAGCTGAACAAACTTTGGCATGAGAGAATGGCAGTGTGGGAGTATTGGATACCTCAAACCACACAAAAACAAAGCATCCAGGTGATGCGGGGGCCTAAGGTGAGATGGCCACCAACTTTCCTACAAAACTAAGAAGGATTGTGAAGGAAACTTACGCTCTTACAACACTCTTTCAAGCCTTGGGATGGGTTCCACCTGAAGCTGCATGGAAAACAACACACGATCTCCCCCCATCAAAGCCTGGATAGAAATGCCCATCACCCTGCTTTCGCAATCACAGTGGAATTTGCCTTGCAGGTCCTTTGCAGACTCTTGGATATCGCCTTCAACGTGGGTATAGCATGGTATAGCGGGTTGATTTCTGGGCAAACATAATCCTATTTGGTCTGGCCACACACACATCATTTTGTCTGTTAGATTCAGCTGACAACCTCTGGTCGTACGTTCATTTAGAAAATGTGTGTATATATATACACATACACTTCATTCACATACATGCGCATGTAATATGATGTACTATGTATATGTATATGTATATATATATATATACACATACACTTCATTCACATACATGCGCATGTAATATGATGTACTATGTATATGTATATGTAGATATATATATATATATATTTTTTTTTTTAATATGTGTATATGTATATGTACACTGCACGCTGTACACCGTATACGGCATATCATATATATAGTTATATGTACATATGCATCGAAAGGCATTTTCAAGCGGCACACAGAAACACGTTCACCCCACTGCACAGCAGCTTCTCCAATCCCAGTCAATCCGCGCACAGGATTAAGTAACTACCCCCTATTAGTCAAGCCCAGCTCGAGCCCCCAACGCTAAACTAACTTAAAATATGAATGCCACAATTCATTTCCATCACCCTAATAAAAGTCCTCCTTGGCAGAAACCCCCCCTATTAATCAAGCCCAGCTGCACCAGAAAAAAGGTAATTGTTTGCTATTATTATAGTTATAAGTTATATATAAGTATTGATTATGTACTTTCGCTGTGGTCAGAATCCAATACAGTATCTTCTGGTCCATTCATCCATCATTATCATCCTCCTTCTGCTTCTCATCCAGCTTTTTCTTCTCTTCCTTCCCTGTTAAAACACCGAAAAGCTTGCTAGCAAAATTCTGTCACTTTCCCTTATTGAAGTTCTATCAACGTCTTAAGGCTTTCAAGCTCACAAAGAGTACCTTTTCTAGTTTTCTAGATATAGCTCACAGGCCCTACCACTCTCTAATAGCAGGGGCCCCTCCCCTATTAATCAAGCCCACCCTCTGGCCTCCATTTTGTCTTTCATCTCTTTCATCCTGCAATCCTATTTCTTTTCCTAATCATCCCAATCAAAGAAAGTGTCTCAAGCAAAGACAGGTTTCTCCATTCAGTTTCCTTCTCATCCAAATCTTCCCAATCAATCCACTGATTGTACACTTGCTCATGATTCACACAGAATCCCATCAACCATCATCCATCATCAGGTCAGGCGATGTGGTCTCGAATACCTCCAATCTCAAACCTTGTTGACCTTGAAGGGGGGAGGGGGCCCGTTTATTAATCCGGTGTTGGCATTACTGCTCTTCCCCTTGATCAAACAGAACACCACCACTCGATCATGATCGATCGCAACAAGGAGAGGCTGTCCAAGGCTCAAGGCTGCCAATTGGCTGAGATCCAAGGCTGCCTCCGCCTCGCACTGCCGCGCTTCATCGCTGCTCCGCTCGCTGTCCTCCTGCCCAGTCGCTTCCACTCCAAGCCACACTGGTTCTTTTGCATCTGATGCCGCTCTGCATGTCTATAACATGTTCGTAAGATAAACACATCAATATTGTCAAGATTATACTCCCAGGTCAGGGGAGGGTTTCTACACTGGCCAGAAATAGGCGCCTGCACATTTCGCATTGTTGCTCGCAGCTCTTCCATTTGAGAGCTAAGCCTGGGGGCGCAAAGGGAGGAATGCATTCTGAAAACAACGGTTTTCCGGCCACCCAATATACAATGCGTATTAGAGATTGTCAACCCTGGAAGGAGCCCTTGCTGAATGAATGTGGCAAAAGATTTGCAAAAGGATACCCCTAGAAGCCACAACGTGTTGATGCAAGAAACCCTCCACTTAAACCATCTTGCTTTAGAGACCAAGCTGGCCCCAATCAGCGGATTCACAGGTGCTTCGGAGCAGCTGCCAAAGCCTTGTGACCAAGGAACAGTTGTTTCTGCTCAAGCAACCTCCTGCACTCTGCATGTTCGGTGGACGCTGGGCTGATGTCACCTGAGAGTCGAGGTCTCAGACTCAAGAAGTGAGAACTCAAGAACCCCCAAGCGTAGAAATCTCATGAAATCTCTAAGCACCTGAAATTTATTTAGACAAATTCTTTTCTAAAGTCATGGACACACCACCTTCCAGTAACATAATGATCTTCAATATACA